TTGTAAACACAGAATTCTGGCGTATCGGACAGTCCAGTCCCAAACGCAGAGGTTCTTCAGGCCATCCAATGAATCCAATGCTATCACCCGTACTGTCCGTCCAGAAGGGCTGACCCAATGAATAGCCTGTCATTTCAATGGTGCGGATCTTGAAGTCTTTGCTGACATCAAGAATACAGATCACTATATGACTGATTCCCTCCAAAAAATGACCCCAGTCATCTCTGCAATACGAGTCCATTCAATATAATTACCGCATAAAAAAAATATCTGTTGCAGTATACCATGGCATACCTGTGCACAAACTCCTGACCCCTAGTGTCCGGCTCTTTGTCGGGTTTATCGGCCTTTTTGTTGACTCTCTTGTAATAGGACTGAGCTTTCGGTGCCTTATATTCAGCGACATATAGGAGTTGTTTGCCATTCCCTGACCACAGGAGTCGTCCGAACGTGTCGTCCAATACAAGAGCCGAGTGTTCGTCCACTGAATCCGTGTCTATTGACCGCACTTTCGACGTCTGATCCCATACTTCGAGCCATTGTTTCTGTTTCCCAGACTCGGGGTCTTTGGAACCCTTGCGCACGACTGCCATGTATTGAGATACCGGTGCTCTGGCAGTGGCCGCCAATCTGTTCAATGGGTTTATCAGTAAAGCAAACAATTCATGGATTGTTTGAATCAATGTCTCACTCATTGGTCACATCCACGGGTTGTCCGACGGGTTGGATGTATTTAACTCGAGTGCAGTCTTTGGACAGTTTAATGGTGTGATGGACGGCATGTTTGGTCACTTCCGGGCGATCCATATCCCGAACCCTCCAATCCGTTCGTAAAGACATTCGTCTCTTATTATCACCGCATCGGTAGAGATGTCCGGCGATGGGAACCGGAGTTTTGGCGAACTCTCGATATAAGTTCACCAAATCGTCGATCTGTTCATTGGATTGAATGTCACTTCAATTGATTCACTCTTAAGACATGTCTTGTGATTATCACTCAATGCTTACCACAATCTGTCGGCCGTCGGCGGTCACCACTGACTGTGTGTCTGAAATAATAGGCAAACAATTGGTCACTAAAAGTGATTTAAGACTTCTTAAGACTAATTACTATTGATATACTCGTTGAGTGTCGCCGAAGACATGATTATCACAACAATTGATACAAATCTTCAAATATAAGCCCTTTTTGTTGTCAATTGAGTCCTGAGTTCAGAGTTTTCTGAAGAGATTTGAGATAAAAGTTTTGAAAAGATGGCCACGCGGTCGGCGCCAAACATCTGCTCCAATTGGTGGTGATGTTGAGCCGAGACTCCCGGCGCGTGTTTAACGTATCGGAAGTCGTGAAACACTTGCAGCGCGTATACGGCGGCGCTCTCGTGTAGGTCAGGAGTGGATCCCTGGCCCACAAACTCCCTCCCGATGTCCATTGTCTGCCTCGTGAGGTCTGCCCACTGTTTGGCGCTTATGTCGCGCGCTTTGACCACATCTTCGAGACACTCCTTCACGTCCAGCCATTGCGGGAGACTATTCCTCTGCGTCTGGAGGAGCAGTCGTTGGCGCTGTAGTCGATAGTAGGCCTCATCGGTGGCGCACTCGTCGTACTCATTGGGCGGTCGGCTAACGGATCCATAGGTCCGCACGTAGTCGCTGAAGGAGAAGCCCTCCGATGTCACCGCCATCGCCGCCATTGTCTTCTCGCGGATCAGCTCAGGAGATAGTGTGTGGCGGTGTGTGCGTGTTGTGGGCGTCAGCGATGGTTTATAAGGGTTGTAGTCGTGAGACAATCGGTGGTAATGTCTTTGCGATGGACTTACGTTCACAACATGTGTTGAGTGAATGCACTACTCGTCTGCTCGTTGAGTATGTGTTCATAAATAACGTACTATTTTTTGGTAGTGTTTTGAAGCCCCCTTTGGAGGCTTGACGTGAGTTTTTGTATAGAAATTAATGTGTTTTCAAGTTTTATTTACCATTTGATTTGTGAACGTTATGTATGAACGACTTGTTGCTGTAATCAGAGTTTTGCTGTTTTTATGAAAACTTTTTTGCATTTAATTTTGAAATCTATGCAAACGTTTGTACGACTAGTTTGCGACACATATGGTATCTGAAGACCTCTTGTTGTGTCTAATCTATGGATCTGTTTGTCGCCAAAAGTTAGTAAAATACAAATTCATAGCATTTAATAAGACTTACAAAACTTTTGCATACTTTTCAACCAAAAAACAATTCGTGTAAACACTTAACACTCATTGAAAAACTTTACAAAACTTTTAATATTGACATAAACTTTATTATAATGTTGTGTGTTAATCAAACTTTTAGTCTAGTTAACTATCCTTTTGAATGTGAATTTTGTGTAAAATGAGTAAGTAAGTTTACGACATTTTAGGTTTCTGTTTGCAAATGCTTCTCCAGAGGCAGCTGTGTGACATCCGCCAGACAGTGGCCGTCGTCGTAGACATAGCACCGGGTCTTCACACCCCTGGCCTTCAATAAGCGGTAGTATTTGAGTCCCTGAGTGGAGGGCACCCGACGGTCCCGTTTGCCTAACACCATAAGCGTCGGCACCTTTACGTTAGGCGCCCAATGGATGGGCGAGCGCTCGGACATGACTTTGGCGCTCATGGGCTCTAAGACTGCATCGCTTTTATAGGACAGGGATGTGCCGAACGCCTCCACATAACACCAGTCAGGGATGTCTGTGCCGTCGGGATTGGTTGACAAGTCTATGACTGGATTCTCTGACACACAGACTTTGAAGTTCCAGTGCGGGTACTGACCGGACAGGTGTGTCACGAGAAACCCTCCGTGAGAGGCGCCGTAAAGCACGAGTCGATGGGAGTCGACGAGTCCTCTATCGCAAAGGTATTGCACGCATTGTATGACATCTTTGACGTCCCGATCGCCGACGTGTCCGATGAGAGACGACACGTACTCCTCGTCCACACCTAACGATCCCCTGTAGTTGACTACCGGTTGAGACATAAGTTAATTAATAGTTATAATAGATTTGTTTATTACAAACAAATACCTAATAATGTCTTAAATCCTAGAGAACAGACCATTGATGCGAATTTGTTTGAATAAGACATATAAGTGTTATATAGTTATTGTACCCCAGGCGGCACCCCATCCTGATATCACCCGCGGCGGAGACTAAACTGACGAACTCCCGACTGGTCTTACCGACAGTTATCAAACAACCCCAGAAGTCACTGCCCTTAGGTTATCTTCTCAACACTTATGTCTTTCAGTGAATCATTAGAATTGGTCTCAATTTGCAACCACTCTATCGACGGCTCCGGTATGTTATCGTCGAGTCGACCGACAAACACATTGGGCTTAACATTAATGGCGGAGCCGACGGCTATCACGAGATTGTCTCTGAAGTCCAGGAGTTGGACGGAAGGTAAGGGGAAATCAATGGGAATCAAGTGTCGAGTCTTGAGATCAATCAAATAGAGCCGTAACTGAAGTTCAGTGAAACAGTTGATCAGTAAATGGTTTTCCGAAGAAGTGAAACAATTATCCAATAAATTTAAGGGGTTTGATACTATTTCTCGCGTCTGCAAGGGTATAAATCCTGGTGAAAGCCACAAATAATAGAGAGCCGCGGGTAGCCACAGGTGTTCTCAAAGTGTACTGAAGCTGAGTTTCCACATAGCGTAATCACGACTGGCCTTATAGTGAGGTCCGCCCACTTCGCACTCCAAATACACAAAACCCGTTCCGTCGGGCAGTGGACGGGGACTACGAATGGCTGTCCTCTCGGACCCACAGACCAGTTGTGGCACAGAGTCTTCGGATCGCAAATCCAAACATTTGTGTCTTAAGACCGCATAGCCTGTCAGGTCAGGGTTTGCGTCTCCAAGAAGTCCGGTAGGTTACTTAGGTTACGATAGTGGGCATGACAGGCAGGTCTTCCCGACTGGGTTACTTATCGGCGTCATCTCAATGGTGCGGATCTTGAAGTCTTTGCTGACATCAAGAATACAGATCACTGTATGACTGATTCCCTCTAAAAAATGACCCCAGTCATCTCTGCAATACGAGTCCATTCAATATAATTACCGTATAAAAAAATATCTGTTGCAGTATACCATGGCATACCTGTGCACAAACTCCTGACCCCTAGTGTCCGGCTCTTTGTCCGGTTTATCGGTCTTTTTGTTGACTCTCTTGTAATAAGACTGAGCTTTCGGTGCCTTATATTCAGCGACATATAGGAGTTGTTTGCCATTCGCTGACCACAAGAGTCGTCCGAACGTGTCGTCCAATACAAGAGCCGAGTGTTCGTCCACTGAATCCGTGTCTATTGACCGCTGAAAGCTGCAGACTAGGGTATGAAGCTCGGTAACAAAGCTAAAAGGTGACTCCGGGTCTTTGGAACCCTTGCGCACGACAGCCATGTATTGAGATACCGGTGCTCTGGCAGTGGCCGCCAATCTATTCAATGGGTTTATCAGTAAAACAAACCACTCATGGATTGTATGAATCAATGTCTCACTCATTGGTCACATCCACGGGTTGTCCGACGGGTTGGATGTGTTTAACTCGAGTGCAGTCTTTGGACAGTTTGATGGTGTGATGGACGGCATGTTTGGTCGCTTCCGGACGATCCATATCCCGAACCCTCCAATCCGTTCGTAAAGACATTCGTCTCTTATTATGACCGCATCGGTAGAGATGTCCGGCGATGGGAACCGGAGTTTTGGCGAACTCTCGGTATAAGTCCACCAAATCGTCGATCTATTCATTGGATTGAATGTCACTTCAATTGATTCACTCTTAAGACATGTCTTGTGATTATCACTCAATGCTTACCACAATCTGTCGGCCGTCTGCGGTCACCACTGACTTTGTGTCTGAAATAATAGGCAAACAATTGGTCACTAAAAGTGATTTAAGACTTCTTAAGACTAATTACTATTGATATACTCGTTGAGTGTCGCCGAAGACATGATTATCACAACAATTGATACAAATCTTCAAATATAAGCCCTTTTTGTTGTCAATTGAGTCCTGAGNTACTCGTTGAGTGTCGCCGAAGACATGATTATCACAACAATTGATACAAATCTTCAAATATAAGCCCTTTTTGTTGTCAATTGAGTCCTGAGTTCAGAGTTTTCTGAAGAGATTTGAGATAAAAGTTATGAAAAGTTTTTTGTGAAACACTTTCGTCTGAATTGTAGTGCAATTGAAGTCATTCTGTAATCTAAACCACAAATTGTCTCACATTTCAAACCAATCGTCAATTCATTGATGTTTTGAATATTCATTTCAATTGACATTCATTTCAATGCATTGCTTATGAAATGCGAGACAAAAGTCATTTCAATTGCACTCAAACTTTACTAAAGACTTCTGCAGACAATCTGTGGATCACTTACCGGTGATATACTTGTGTCCAGTCGTCCACGTGTTGTCCAATAACTTGATTATCACCACAAATACCCTCAAACTCTTGTGAAGACTGGACACGAGTTTCAATGAAAACAAAACAAAAACTTTGAAAAACATATGTTTTAATGAATGAACGCATGCGTCGTATAACACATACAGTCTATCCTTGGTATCAATTATAGCAAAAACTTTTTACAAAACTTTATAAATAAAAGTTTTATATGAACTATTTAATATGAATTAATTTTAATTTTGTTTTATGCATAACTTAGCCAGTTAACATTCATATAAGAATTAACCAGGAATATAAAAGCGATTTTAAAGTATTTTTAATCTGGCATACGTGCTAAATTGTTCAAGGTTAAAATAATAAACATTTGTTCATTGAGTTTACATTAGTTTTAGTTAAAAATTATATTTTGAATTAATTTTCGACACATTTGTGTCGTGACCGCAAAAATTATCTCAAAAGCCATGACTTCTTGTGCCAAAAGTGACGATCAGTTCATTCAAAGCATTCAATTGTTTCACATTTTCGATGACCCGAAAGGGTATAACATATTAGTGGTGACCGACAAACACCTCGTCTACGGCTTGGGATCCAATTCCCGGGGATCTCTCGGTTTGGGACACAACCTGACCGTCAATTCCCCCACAATTATACCGGAATTGTGTCACAAGAATATTCTGCAATTCTTTACGGGACACGACTTTGCCTTAGCTATAGCCAGAAACAGACATGTGTACGGGTGGGGTAGCAATAAGAGGGGACAGTTAGCCCGTGAACCCGGAAAGGGTTATTACAAACCATCCGAAATACCAGTGCTTAACGACCTAAATGTGTGCCAAATATCATGCGGTTATGAACACGCGTTAGCCCTCACGAGCACAGGTAGTGTCTACGGGTGGGGCGATAATGGTTATGGACAGGTAGGCACTGAACACGTGATACTTAGAGGGCCGACAAAACTGAATGTCTATCACATAAAAAGTGTGTTTTGCGGCCATTTCTCGTCGTTTGCCATCACTTGCGAGGGACTGGTATTAAGTTGGGGTCGAAATGATAGCTACAGTTTGAGTCATAACTTGCTGGGTGTGGAGGCAGTGGTACGCAAACCCCAACGGATTACCGGTTTAACTGATGTTAAGGGTGTCGGTGCCCGAGGGGACGGTCGCACCACGTATTGGCTCACAGACGACGGCTTTGTGTACTTTTGCGGTGAATATAGCGATGAAAGCGGTGTTAAAGTCAGGCAAAGTTCACCGAAAGTTGTGAATACCGGTGCCGAGTGTCAGGACCTACGGGTGATAGAGGTGAACGGTCACCAGACGGTGGTTGCCGTTACCAATGAGAATATTCTTGAGATTCTGGACACGAATGAAGTGATTGCCACGGATTACGAGAATTTGTTTGATTATTGTGTCGACGAGTTTCGGATCACTTTAGAGACCATTAATTTCCGGGAATTTAAGAGATTTAATTACAATACAAAGCGCCATTTTATGAACAAATGTCACGAGTTTTTGGGCAAAATGTTTGTCCAAGTTCAATTATCTATTTATGGTACGAATGACATTTTTGCCATAGTAATGTTCGTAGATAATATAATTCGTATATTTTTAGTATTACAGTAAGTATTACTTGATAAACTAAACTTTATATTGCTTATATTGTAGATGTGCCTGCCCCTTTAAATTATGGACTAACCCTGATTACTGACCGCTACGAGAAATTATGTGAATTAGGTTCGGGGTATTTTGGGACAGTATTTAAAATGAGAAATAAGCGCGATGGCAAGGAATACGCCGTCAAAGAAATTTATAAAGGTAAATTTACTCATTAAAATTTAAAACTATTAAATTTAAAAAATTCTCTCTCTCTCTCTCTCTCTCTCTCTCACTCACTCACTCATAGATAAAACGGATTCAGACCAGTATTATAAGGAATTACAGAATTTAGTGACCGGTGGCTACTCACTCACTCATAGATAAAACGGATTCAGACCAGTATTATAAGGAATTACAGAATTTAGTGACCGTTCGCTCAGAATATTGCATTCAATACATTCATGCACTCGAGTGCGACAACTATTACATTGTTATGGAGTTGTGTTCAGACAGTCTTCAGACAATTCTCGATAAAAAACACAAAGCCTTCGGTCGAGATTTGGGTCAACCCATGGGTTCAGTCGAGGCATTCATTTCGTGCCAAATATTCAAAGAACTCTTAGAATGCGTTCAGTATTTGCATGGATTGGAGCCACCGGTCACTCACCGGGACTTATATCCCGATAATATTCTGGTGACCCGTAAGGCAGGGAAAGGTAGATATTTTAAGTTATGCGACTTCGGTGTGTCTACAGTACGCCCGCACGCGTCCGATAAGGGTAACCCCAGCTACCAGGCCCCTGAAATCTACCATGGGCGCCTATATGACCATAAAGTGGACCTGTACAGTTTGTACAGAATTGGCGAAAAGTTATTTGACGTCAATTTGGATTATCCTTGGTGAGTTTCATTCAGTCTTTTTAACCTAGATAAGTTAAGTAAACTTTATTAACTCGTTTATATTATATCTGGGTTGCGAAACGGAATATGAAATAAAAAAATTTATTCACGGTATTAATATACCCTGAATACAACATTGAATATAAAAAATGTTTTTTAAATCATTAGTCCGTTTTGTGGCCCAAAAAATTTTATTAAAAAATTTGTAATATTTAAAACATCCAAAACATAGCTCGCAATCGTATTCATCGGACAATGAAATAGTCAACAAATGTATGGATAATGTGAAGCAAGTGTTGCATACGATGTCGTACTACAACTGGGAATACCCTAATCAACCCAAACCCGGTACCCATGACTGGACAGACAGGCCCTCGTGTAGGCAAGTGTTAGACAAATACAAAGAGTGGACACTTTGTAACCAATGTCTGCAATCGGATCCTAACGTCGAGTCAACAGTGAATGCAATCAAACAAAATAGTTATCACTTTTTCGGTGAATATTTTGTCACGAAATACAGGATTAATATATTATTTGAGGCGCCAGTAACCAATGTCTGCAATCGGATCCTAACGTCGAGTCAACAGTGAATGCAATCAAACAAAATAGTTATCACTTTTTCGGTGAATATTTTGTCACGAAATACAGGATTAATATATTATTTGAGGCGCCGTTCGGTGAGTGTATGTGTTGTACGCCATACGAAGATAATCCCGATGACCCTATGTATGAAACTTACCAGGCTAAGAAAAAGTATAATGAATGTAAAAAGCAACCATGTCCACATTGTAATCAAAAGTACGGTAGTTGAAATTTAAAAATGTTAATTATGTATATTAATAATACAAATTAAAATAATATACAATTCTATGGAAAATGTATGCCTACATCGAGTATTTATTTCTTAAAATTCAAGTTATTTTTTACAAAAAAAAGTAATTTTCAGAGAGAGAGAGAGAGAGAGATCTGGTTATCTATGTGTTGTCCAATCACTTGATTATCACCGCAAATATCACTCAAACTCTTGTGACACTTGTGTTGTTGTGAAGACATCACATGAATCATGATTTTCATAACTTATGAATCCTAACAAAACTTTTTTATAAAAGTTTTAAATATTTGATAAGCATGCGTATATTAATGTAACAAATACACTAATACATTGTAATAATTCATACCAACACTTTGATAATAATTTGATAACTTTTTATGTAAAGTATGATTTTGTATGGCGTGTAATTTAACTATTTTATTTTTCTTTTTGAAATATTCATGGTTATAAAAATTATTATGCAAAACCATTTTAAGCAAACTTAATATTGAAAAGTGCATATTCAAGGATACAACATTAAAGTTATTTATTTCAACAAATTGGCATAAGTCATATTTAGCACTGTTTATGTAATACGATTCTTAGAGGTGGTGTTCACATGAATTTTAAAGTTTACAATTTCGACACATTTTAATAATTATTGTCAAAATTGTCACAAAAACCAAACAATGGCCTCCGGGTCCCAAAGTGACCCTCAATTCGAATCAATTAAATTGTTTCACGTTTTCCAAGACCCGAAAGGATATAACATATTAGTGGTGACCGACAAAGGCCTCGTCTACGGCTTGGGATCCAATTCCCGGGGATGTCTCGGTTTGGGACACAAACGAGTCGTCAATACCGCGACTATTATACCGGAATTGTGTGACAAAAATATTGTGCAATTCTGTACGGGACACAACATTTGTATGGCTATAAGCTCCAGTGGGCGGGTGTATGAGTGGAGGGAATGGACGTCTTATAAACCCCTCGAAGTGTCCGGTTCTGAAGACCAACAAGTCTGTCAAATATCGTGCGGTTATGGTCACTCGTTGGCCCTCACGGGCACCGGTAGTGTCTATGAGTGGGGCGATCATATTTACAGACTCAACAGTCTCGATCTTCATAGTTTTGTTCAAATCCAAAGCCCACAACGATTGCATTTTTATGCCAATAAATCTAATGTTGACAATGAATATCACATAAAAAGTGTGTTTTGCGGACATTTCTCGTTGTTTGCCATCACTGATGAGGGACTGGTGTTTAGTTGGGGTCGTAATGAATGCTTTCAATTGGGGCATAAGGCATGTTATGGTAAGAAAATACGGCTCGCGTTGGAGTGGTATCAAGAGGGAGTGGTTTCTGAACCGCAATTGGTAGCTGATGTGACTCGCATTAAATCTATAGCCGCCGGGAGTCGGGCCACTTATTGGCTCAGAGACGACGGGTTTGTGTATTTTTGCGGTCAATATAGCGATCAAAGCGGTAGCAAAATCATTCAAAACGAGCCGAAATTGTTGGACAACATCGCCGACTGTCAGGAACTACGGATGATTTGGGCGAACAATGAGCACAAGGCTATTGCCCTAATAAACGACAGGGTTGTCGAGATTGACGGCATGAATGGTGTGAAACAAACGCATTACAAGAATTTGTTTCATTATTGTCTGCACGTGTATCGGGTGACTCCCGAGACCATGAGTGTGGTGGACAACAATTATTACGAGTTTTTGAGTGAAATGTTCAAGATAATTCAATTGGGAATCATTTGTAAGCATAATAACCGGATTCGCCCAAAAGTCCCAAAAATGAAAAAATTTAAACTTAAATAACTTTTGTAACATGATCGATTGATGATAAATGAAAATTTGATTTAAATTGGGTTAGGTTTGGTTAAGGATTATCTATTCTACTAATCAAATTCAAAATATACCCACGTCAGTTAATTATTTGAGTTTAGGTTTTTCGGTTTAAAGTATTTTTGTGTGGGGTAAACCCATAATAACTGTATAATTGAACAAAGCGTACTGTATATGTGTATATTAATTATATAATATTTGACTGTAGTCACTCCAAGCCAATTACATTCTGGTCTTACATTCCCGATTTCTGAATACGAGAACTTGGGCGAATTAGGTACAGGATCATTCGGAACCGTATATAAAATGAGAAATAAAGGCGACCGCGAAGAATATGCTATTAAAAAGATTCCCGCAACAGGACCAGGTATACATCGATATAACATAATATTATAATTGGGTTAATGCAAATTGAATTGCTCTCTCGCTTTTTCACATATAGACAAAACGGACCAAGCTCAGATTCGCAAGGAAATAGAGAACTTAGTGCGGGTGCGCTCGCAATATTGTGTTCGTTACGTGTTTTCATTTTATTATTTGGATTACTGGTACATTATAATGGAGTTGTGTTCGGACAGTCTTCAGACAATTCTCGATAAAAAACACAAAGCCTTCGGTCGAGAATTGGGTCAACCCATGGGTATAGTAGAGGCTTACATCTCGTGTCAAATATTCAAAGAGATCCTAAAATGTGTGGAATATTTGCACGGATTGACACCACCGGTCACTCACGGGGATTTATACCCTGCTAATATCCTAATAAGTCAAGGATTTTACACTTGCTTTTACAGTCGTTGCAACGGCAGTCATTTTAAAATATGTGACTTCGGGTTGACTACTATTCGCGAACACAAGTCCGGTAGATTGGGTAATGTTAACTACCAGGCCCCAGAGATTGGTCGTGGTGAGCATAATCATAAAGCGGACCTATTTAGTATCTACAAAATTGGTGAACAGTTATTTGATGTGGAATTACCATGTTTGAAAACGGATGCGTAAGTTTTACTAGTAATCTTTTTATGATTAAAATGCTTTTTAATTTGAACGGTAGTTGTGCCAGTTTATTTCAAGATAATTTATTCATATAGAATCTAATATAATGTATCATTTAATATTTAAATATAAGATTAAATATGACACTGATGCAATACTTGTAGTGACATCCTTTCAATTCCATTGTTTATACAGTTTTAGAACTTAAGTTATGAGTGAATGGCATTCAAATGTTTTAATTATATTAACATTTTTCCAAAACATAGTTCACTATCGTATTCATCGGATAACGAATTGGTGAACAAATGTATGATAAATGTAATGTTCGTATTGCAATCCATGTCGTACTACAACTGGGAGTACCCGCAAAACCCCGACACCCTTCACTGGAAAGACAGGCGTGAATGCAGTGAAGTGTTGCAGACTTACAAAGAGTGGACACTTTGCAAACATGATCTGCTATGGGATCCCAAAGTCGATGAAATAGTGTCTGCCATTCAAAATTCTACCAGTGAACATTATTATGAATTTTTCTATCATTATTTTAAACATTTATATTACATGACTCACGATCAGGAATCGAATGACCTAGGTGACCCTTTTCAGTGTGAATACAAATCAGGGCAGCATTATCACTCTAAAACTCACCAATGCCCACAATGCCTTGGATGCCTTTTAGATATTTATTTAAATAGATGTTTAATACACCTTTCCGCTTATACCGCCCGTTCAGAATCAGAATCAGAAAAAAATCTAAGGGAATGGACGGGATTGCCGTTGTTTTAAGTGATCTCTTATATGAAAATTGCTTTAAATTGATCCTTATATCTCAAATAAATAATATAATACAAGTAAATAAAATCTTTAGTTTGACATTCTATAACATAAAAATAGTCTAAAATATATAAAACCTTTTACCTATAAAAGTATTAATCCTTATAAGACATGTGTATTCAATGTATTAACTTGTGATTTAGGGCTTTATAGCTACAGTAATATTTAACTAATTTTTAAGCAAATTCAAGCAAGGCAATCATTTCTCTGAACTCATTATTAAGGGAATAAAAATTAGGGGTCAGTTAGAAAACTAATACCGTATAACAAACTATATTTTGTTTTATCGGTATATCATATCGATATACCGTAATATTAATTACACATAATATTTAACATTAAAAATAAATTTTAACAAATTGTTGCGTTTATTAGATTAAGGCTTATATACAGTACAATGCATAACATAATCACAACTTCTTATTAATGTTTGGCATAAATATCTTCAACCTCTTCGGCGGTGATGTCGATGACTGTGACAACTGTTCACTCGAGTTAGCCATAAATCTCTGATACTTTATGTGAATATCAATATCAGACACACTTTTATCACGCAATTGACCCGTAAGTCGACTCAACTCCTTATTAAACGCCACAATCGACTCCTTTAGCCGTTTCGGACCACCGATTATCTCATCCGCGGTGTCCGTCAGTTCTCGCTTAAGACTTTCCATACCATCGACGACTACCTGTTGTCGAGGTTTCTCTATGTCTTCAGATCTATGGCTTACAGTGGGATCTAATAGGAAACGACATATCATTAAGTGATCAACTATACGATTATCACTAATAAGAGCTGTTTTACAGCAACTGCTGGACACAGACGTTGTCTTTGGATTAAACATCTCTTGCAGTGAATCCTCGGACTCCGTGTCCGTCAGTGTTATCTCGTATCCGATGTCGTACTCGGACTCCGACTCATCCTAATGAGTGACAATACATACCATTAGATGATAATAACACACATTAATAGCTACCAAATACTCGCCTCAAGACTATCACTGGTATAACTGCTTCGAGAATCCGATTCCTCATCATTGGTCGCCACTGTGTTATCTAAAGATGGCTCGCATTGGGATTTATTGGATGTCGAAGAAGTGGTTGACGTAAAGCCTAAGACATGCAAACAAAACGCCAATTAAATCATCGAATGAATGACAGCTCTCTCTCTCTCTCTCATTACTTGTGTTGATATTATCCCTCAATCTCTTGAGTTTGCATCGGATCTGTTCCGTATTCCTCTTGAATCCCATGGCCTCGAGTCTGGACTGAATGTACTGATTAAGTACTCGTTGGCTGCCATACGAAGACACGGCCCTCGACTGCGACCACACCGTCATCAGCGCCGACGTCTCGGCGAACGACCACTTTGTGACCTCAGACACAGTCTTCGGCCGCTTCTTAGCCGTCGTCGATGTCCTGGTGGTCGGCGTTGCGGTCGTTGTCGTCGACACACGTCTTGAGACACACGAACGGCTCGCGCGCTGACCCCCGATGGCTGTCTTGTCGACCACCGACCCCTTGCCTGCAGTCATGGCTTTCTTGACTTTAGCGGCCATTCATGTGTCCATCGACTGATCCATTCGGTGATGAGATCTGCGGTGAAGAGTGTCTTTGAAAACGTGTTTTTGTTTTGATTTTCTTTGGATTTGTTTTTGTTTTTCAAAACCCATTCAAACACTGAGTGCGCGAACGATGTCTTCATAAATAACGTTACGATTCAAGTTTGGCGAACAGATTGTGACCACAAGTTCTGTGAGATTATCACTCATTTGGTCCGTGGTTTCAGTGGTTGTATTGCATGTGTGGGCTGTCAGTGGTATCGATGCGAGTGGTCATGGATTTTAGTTTTTAAAATGTTTTTAAGTGATTTTAAGTCTCTCTCTCTCTCGACGAACTTCAGAAACTATTGGATCAAATAGAGTGATGATAATAAATGGTCATTAAATTGGTGGCCAGGGATCTAATGGCACACACCTGACGCTCACCATCGCTATAGATTGAGTGACATTTGATAGCATTTTATAAATTTAATACTTTTAAAAAACTTTAAATTGCAATTTCAACACCAATTAAACACTTATTTAAATCAATTAATCTATATTTTGATGCAATATTTATGCATTAATTGAATATTTATTTTGCAAAATTATGCTAATTATTAGATATAAGTAATATTCGGATTAAGTTATAAAAATCAATTAATTTTCAATTACTTTATCATAAATTATCTGTAAATCTAATATCAAATAATATTTTACGAATACGGTATAAAACTGTGTAT